CCGCGCGCCCCCGCGGGTGGCTGGTGACGCGGGAAGCCGCCTAGGTAGCGCCCTGACGGTACCCGGTACCCATCTGTGTGATTAGAGGGGTCTTTCACTCACAGAGGACGAGAAAGTACCTTTGAAGAGACCTCAGCTAATGAACAAAATGTTACAGTCTTTTCAAAATTGAATAGGATTATGAACATGGGATCTCTCGGCTTGTAGGACTTCCTTTTTAAAATGATATCTGTGCTGCTCTTTTCTGTCCTGTGGGGTGGCTTTTTCTTCTGTCCTAACAGAATCATCTCACATAACCGAAGTCCAGAGGCTTGGCTTTGCTTTGCTTATTCTTCATCGGTATTTCCTAGTCTCATTTAAGGCCATGAAGTATTTATAAACAAAAAAAATGTTTTTCTGTTCCCCTACCCCTTCTTATGTGTGTAATGAAGTTTTTTTTTTTTTTTTAACAGAGTTGGGATTTTTAAGTTCCTTTGTCTTGGTATTTATTACCTATTTAAAAGTTCATAAGGTAGGGGCCAGCAGGTGTCAGGGAGATTAAAACTAGCTGGATCCCACTTGGCTGACTTTGCAATTGGAGTCTCGGCTCTGGTGGCTTGAAAATCACGCCAAGCATGTGTACATGCGTGCCCAAGGTTCTGAGAGGAGACTCCCCGGGGGGCTCTGTCTCTCTCTCTCCCTCTCCAGCAAGTACATGCACTCTATAACAAAAATATCAATGAATAAAAATAAATAAAATTTATAAATTAGAGCAGGCTCTTTAGAGTATGGATTAGAATCATCTTAGCCTTTTTGTCCGTCCCCAAATCTATTTCTTTAATTAGATGGATTCCAGTGCTGTTTTTTTTTTTTAATATATATATATTTTTTTTTATTTTAAATTTATTCATTCTCTACATTAATTCACCATACACCATCACAACACACAAATGAATTTTCCATCCAAAATACACTGTGCATTGGCTCAATCAAGCACATCAACATACATGTTCTCAGCAAATAATTTTCCAATTCTTATGTCCTGCATACCTTGCCTTTTGTTTTGCCATCCCTGATTCCCCATCCCCCACCCTCTGC